AAATTCTAGCAATCCCAATCTACTTTGAGACATAACAAAATTGAACACAAATTAGGAAGGTATTCATGGTTTCAGCTCATTTGAGCATTTTATCAAATACTAGTTGAGCATCTTGATTTCAAATCTCTTTTACAAGGTTTCCTTCATTCCCCAACCCAATCTTTACTTATTTATGTTCAACAATCTTCCCACAAATCTAATTTGTACATGCATGTATACATAATGCTATTACACCCAAGAATCATATCTTAATAACCCATCTTATGCCCCAAACTCGAAATTAAAGTCTAATGTATAGAACCTTACCTCTTAGATGAAGAACATGTGATTGGGTTCTTTGATTCTTGAAGACTTGAGCAAGAGATTGGTGATTATGAAGCTAGGCTCCTTCTCTCTCTATATGCTCTCAACTCTCTCTAAAATCAGTAGAAAATGACCCCAAATGAAGCCCAAAAGGCTATATATTAAAATGGGGCCGGGTTATAAAAATAGGAAAAATAAGCCTCCGAAATCGGGTCTGCGATCGCAGAATGGACCGCAAAACAAGAACGTGGGCCACAGAATGCATCGCAAAATAGGTGCCCAAAACTGGGCAACACTGGCCCAATCTGCGACAGATCTGCGATCGCAGAGTCAAAAATGCGACATATTTGCGATCGCAGATTCGACACAGGATCGCATTTTTCCAGCCTTTGGTAATTTGATCATAACTTTGTGTAGGAATGTCCAAATGACGAACGGTTTGAAGCGTTAGAAACTAGACTCGAAGACCTTTCAAATGAAAGGTTTTTCATCACATAAAACCTTATACATATTTAGATATGCTCGTTCAAAGTGTGGACTTGTGCAAACTCATTTGAAATCTTAGCCTATTATGAAATTTTCCAATTTGACTTAGGCTTAGGCCTTTCCTTGGGCCCGAAATTACTTACCATAAGAATCGTACACTTATTTACCAAGTTCAATTGATGCCTACCATGTTAATAGAACATAAAATATTATAATTAGCCCACGTGGCACCACGAAATCCTAAATTACTTAGCGAAATTTTCCGGGGCCTTACAGTAACCAATCCAGGATGTATCCCGAAGGAAGCACAACCGATGGTAAAGACTCAAAGGCTTGTCATTGGATAGCATTAAATGAGCAACCATTACAGAGAATATCTGCATTCAAGGCCAACCATTATGCACCCATCAATGACATTTTTATTCTCATTCAAGAGCAGCTTGATTCTAGGATCTTGTCTCCCTAGGTAGAGCTATAAATAGCTGGATTAACAATCATTATAAGGACAAGAAACATTCTGCACACAAAACTGTACTTCACCATTTTACGCTCAATCGAAAGAATTATTTCATTGCCCTATCTTTGTTTCTACTTTTGCTTTCAGAAAGACCGAGCACAAGATCAGGCTTGCCTTTTCTCTCTAATTGTAGTCATTAATCTTATTTTTTGTTCTATTTTTTTTAATTTTTTTGGGATCAAATCAGTTCGCTTGTCTATAAACCACGTTTCAAATTTAATTATATCGTTTTACAGGTAAACAAACAATAAATTCAACCGTCTATTGAATTTTATGATTTGATATTTTAGGATATTTTTAGTAGTATTTGTTGGATTATGTAATACGTGCCTTCTATAAACTTCTTTGGAAATCTGTCATGATCAATCTTTTTTTATTTAAGGGAATTTTGAAAGTCTAAAATATCAGAGGAATTTCATTTCATACAAGTCCAACCAACAAGTCTGCGAAACATTTTAATGTACATCAATTGTGGATTAGAGAAACAGTGTCCAAATTGTTTACGTGTTAGTCTTTTTCAGATGTGTGTAAAGAAGAAAACATCAAGTCTCGTTTCATTTTTTGTCATACATAAGTTTAAAAGCTCTTCTTAAATCATGTAAAGTCATGACAAAAGAGTAATATCATTTCATTGTGCTTTATTTTACTTGATCAAGTTTTGCTTCATGAAGTACTTATTAGTTATATTGCTTACTGATTTGAAATTACTCAAAAAAATTGTCGTAACTTGAGAATTGAACGCTAATATACGGACAGGTGCACTTTTACATTCAATCAAAATTTACTTTGTATATAAGGTGTCATACTATTTTCTAAAGATATATATACAAAATTTGAGTAACTTTCTAGATGCCGATGCCTTCTCTATATAACATAAGTCCGCCCGTAAATATATATACTTGCATAGAGGACTAAAAGTTAAAGCAACAACATATGAATTTGCTAAACCAAAGATACTTTCTTATTCCATAGTGATGATGAGAATTCTAATGAGAGAAATCTCAATCACTAAAACAAGTATGTTCACTTAACAACAATGAAGTGAGTGAATTTAGTTCGAAAAACCCTAACAAACCCTATGAAATCATCTCACGCTAAGAATCATTTTCTAATTCTCTTCGTGAGAGATCTCCAACAATAACCACAAATTACTAATGTTTTCAATTATGCCTAATCAAAGCATATGGAAACACTTAAAAGAAATGAAAAATGAAAACAAAGATGAAATGAGAAATGATGTTTCAGCTCTCTCTCTCTTTTCACTTTTTGTCTGATCCAATTCCAAGAGTGTTCTTCACTCCATCAACTGCACCTTGAGCCATGTGGATCATTTGCTCTCCAGTCTAAATCACAACAAAGAAAAAAAAAATGTAGATATATTATGAGTTTTAAAAATAAGGAACTAGAAGCTTTGAGTATATTAATAGCTTTTAAGGATTTAGTTCATATATACAGAAAATTTAAAGTATTTTTACATTATTTTAAGCTGTTATAGTAAGGAAACCTTACTTTACTTATCCCACTTTTTATTAATAGTTACTTGTAATAATATTTTAGGTGACTTGATAGTATAAGAATTCTTCTATAAGTAATTCCTCGTGTCATCCGACGTGACCGATCACTGTGTGACCTGAACTTTCAACCTACCGAATGATTGTTGAGGTGTTTGCATACTTAAAACAACAACAACAACGACCCGGTGAAATTTCACTAGTGGGGTGTAGGGAGGGTAGTGTGTACGCAGATCTTACCCTACCCGAGGGGTAGAGGGTGTTTGCATACTTATGATATATAAATATAGATAAATTACCTGCTGAAGGAAGCCAGGATTCTGGTCTTTGTTTTGTTGAGCTGATTGATGAGCACTTTGGGTAGCATTTTCAGCCTTATCAACCATTGAATGTGCTGTACTCTTGGCTGAATCTGCCATTTGCTCTGTCTTGGCCTATTTTTTCATCAATTACAATAATGTAAAAGATGCAGTGGAGAACAAGAAAAGATCATGAAGGGAAAAAAAGAAAAAAATTCCTCAAGTGTATACTACCAATTCCACACAATTATAAAAGATTTTGCAAAAGCTTTATTTTTTTTATTTGATATTACATAAGAGATCACAAACAATATAGTTTATATAGGAGGAGCCGAGGATCTATCGAAGTACCTCCACAAGGTAGAGTAAGATCTGCGTACACACTACCTTCTCCGGACCCTACTTGTGAGAATACACTTGGTATGTTGTCGTTGGAATATTATATAAGAGATCATAGAAAATTAGGGGACAAGGGACAACGAGAATATAATGGAACATACACATATTGTACAATGCTGAAGGCATGAATTTCATTAGGAAGATTCAAAAATGCACTTATTTGTCCAGGAAATTCAACAATTTGTATATATTCACAAAAAATTCACCTATATATACAGTATAATATAAGCCTAGGTAATCTAAAAACAATTTTAGTTTGTAACGACTATTAATTGCATGTAGTATGAAGTATTAATTACCTGAGCTTGGCCGTGGGACTCACCGGCTTGTTGAGCACTTGACATTTTGATTATTAATCTGAAGGAATTTTATTCAGAAAAAATAGATAGATATTTTAAAACTTTATTTTTTGAGCTTGGTATATATTTGTTGAATAACTTCTAGGTTGATTGGACTTATTTATAGAGAGGTTATTCGTTTAATTGATTGATGATCCATGTTTTTCTGCTTTTGACTTGGTTTCCTGTGGTTAATTTACTGTAAAAATTAGAAAAGGAACCTATACAATAACTCTAAATATAACATAAATTTATTAAAAAAAAATATGCTAACACATTGAGTGTGCCACAAGCTCTAATACTAACTAATTACTTGCACAGTAAAAAAATCTCGAACCACAAGTTAAATCAGAGCCCTTATATGTAGGAAGGCGTTAATTAATTAAAAGGAATAAACTCTGAAAAAAATATAGTAAATCAAGAATGATATAATGAAAATTCTAAGATTAGAATTAATAGGTACTGGTACATAAATAAGTTGATTTATTAACAAAACAGCAAATTGCCAAGTGATGTTAATATTGATACTTGGACAGAAAAAAGAATTTTACTCAATAGATGAGAAATAATGAATTAACTTAAAAACTGTCGAACAAATCCATTGTGACTAACATGCGCTTTCAAATAAGTTTCATATAGTTATTGTTCAAGAAAAATTTGCTCGTAGGATTACTTTGGTTCTTTCGAGCCTTTTCCTTCCCACCTAGTTACAGAAAAAAAAAAAAAAAAAATAGGTAAGAACTATGTAATAATAAATAAATAAAATGATGATGAAATAAAGCAAAAATGCTTTGAAGTGAGACAAAGTACAAATCTATATATATATATAAAAGAGGGGAATAAGAAAGTGACGTGGCTGCTCTTACTGTCTAGGATTCATATTTCTCTTTTTTCTCAGATTTTTGAAATTTTTTCTCATTTTTACCATTTGAGAGGTAATTGTTGCATCCATCATTATCTTTTAAGAGGAGTAACTTGCTTTTCCTTTCTCCTCCATTTTTGTTTTTCTGTTTCACTTCTCATTTCTTCTTGATCTATAAGTGGTGCAGGTTCTGATATAGAAATCATTGGATAATTCCTTGCTGTGAATTTTGGTCAATCTGTTGTGTAGTTTGTGAAGAAAAATTTACTACTTCTCCTTCTCTTTTTTGTTATTAAAAGCAGGTGGAGAATCTATGTTTATCACACTTTTTACCTATAATACTAATCGATAGTATAATCTTATTTTTTGTGGATTTAAATTTTTGGACTTAAGTAACAACTACGGGGTTAAAAGAGAAGCAGAGAACAAAATGAATAAGGAAAGAATAGGAAAAGGAAAAGAAGATACATTGGGGCGCGGGGGGAGAAAAAGGAAATAAAGAAGCAAAAAGGAAAAAGTATTTAAAATTTATAGTACCAAAAATTTTTCGTTTGATGTTCTTTTACTCTATTTTACTTTTTCATTTTTGAAAATACAAATCTCACTCTATAATGAGGGAATCAGATCTTATACAGTTTGACTTTCTAATACAGGCAAGAAATAAGATAAACTCTAGATGTGCTATTTGAGAAATACAAAAAATATAGCTACTTGTAAGAAGAATAATATGAGGATTGCAAGACTATCTCAAGTAGTTAATGTATTTCTAAAGTTAGTAGAAAATATTTCGTTGCAATTTATCTTCTCCATAACAAAAAAAATTATTTTCTCCTTAAACCAAAGTAGATTATTAATAGAAAAATAAATCGGTACTTGACTGGTTTATTTTTCTTTACATTGTTTCTTTTCACCCATTATATTAAACTCTTGATATTGCCCTTATATTCAGGAAATAAATGTGAGGTTTTGATTTATAGACAGCGTGACTAAAGTCTAAAGATTAATCGTTCTTTTGTTAGTTTTATTATGCTTTGGAACTTTTACTTTTGAAAGTACCATTTTTCTTGGCAGTCTTAAAATTTTTATTTCTTGTGTAGCTAGAGATTATAGTACTTTTGGTACCAGTAGAATGTTCTTTATTTATGGATCAAGCGAATTTTGGGACAATGACGTCTACTCCTATAACAATGATTATGTGCATTTGCTGAAAAAATAATAATGTGCAGATGGATAATAATATTTTATTTTTAAAGTGTGGGTTTGACAGACTTTACTGTAAATAACTTCCTGTCTTCTTCTCATAGAAAAAACAAAATGCGGAAGTGTATTTGTCTGCTCATGTTATCCTTCAGGACTAACATTTTATTCCTGATAATAATCGTAACCCTTTGAAATTATTAAAAATGGAGTTATTCAAGAATTATTATGGATGCTCATGGTGAACTAGGATCTTCCTCCCATGAGTATTAGTTGCTGACTATGAAATTTTTGTACATGATAGTGAAGGTGTCGTGCGTTACACTATTTAATTTTTTTTAAATGTGTATGGAATTTAATTAAATTTAGTGAATGTTTTCATCTTGTCTGTGAGTTCTACAACTGATTTTTGAATACTAATGAGTTTTTTCATGAATGAATGACATATATGTATGGATTGATATTAATATATGTATAGAGTTTCATTGGTCCTCAATCCAAAAAGATAACTATTTTTTTCTTTCTGATTAATTTGTATGTTGTCGACTAATTGTAAGTGACTACTATATATATATATATATATATATATATATATATATATATATATATATATAT